TTTCGTCGTCCGCTCTGTTTTTTTTCGTTTTTTCTTTTTTTCGTGTGGTCCAATGGACCACGGATCAGATATTAAACTGATCAGAACAGATACTACACTTGATCTTAGCCAAAAGGCCGAGAAAGGTATTTCATTTTTTGTTTTGATTTTATTTTGGTGCCTCAAGTTTTTTTTTTTTTTTTTATAACAATTATGAGCTTTATATAGTGTGAGATATACATCTGTAAATTTTCAGGGCATTTGGCTATCCCAAGAAAAAATGAAAAATCGCCAAAGATGGCAGTGTCAAAACCATGCTCGCCAACTCATTAATTTTAATTCTCTTTTCATTTTTCTTCCTTATTACTATTATTTTTTATTATTTTATTTTTTTTTCACATTTGGTAAGGAATTCGTTGGATTTTGTGGAATTTTTGGATTTATTTTATTTTATTTTATTATTTATATTTTTAGGTTCGCGTTCGGCCCGAACGGTCGAATGCATCCCCAAGCGGGGCCGAACGTTCGGCAGGTTCGGGTTTGGGAGTTCGGCTGAACCCGAATGCCGGCAACTTTATATATAGCCCCTCGTTTGTTGTCCTCTTCTCCCTCTCTGCCTACGGTTTACCGGGCAGCTCTATATATATATACAGGGTTACCTGACCGTACGTTCGGGGGCCCCCGGGCTGGCCCCCGAACGTTCGGGCGTTCGGGGTCCCGTTCGGGGGCCGAACACCTCCAGGTTCGGCCCCGCCAAAAAACAATTCGGGGCCTAAACATAAGTTGTTTTTTCTGCATTTTTTTTTTGTGAGTTCTCTATGATGTGACCTACACGCCTATAAATTTTGAAGCCATTCTGCTAAGCCAAAAAAACATTTAAAATCGTCAAAGATGGGGATGTCAAAACGTACTCGCCCACTCACTATTTTGTTTTTTTTCACTTTTAACTTTTTGTTTCCATTTTATTTCGGGGCCTAAAAGAATTTATTTACTTTTTGAAAAAAAAATAACGAGTTATTGATTACGTAAACTACATATCTGTAAATTTTCAGGGAATTTGTCAATTCCAAAAAATAATTAAAAATCGGCAAAGATGGCAGTGTCGAAAAGGTGCTGGCACACTCACTCATTTTAATTCTCTTTTTATTTTTTCTTATTTTTATCATAGTGTTTATTTTCTGTATTGGATTTTTAATTCAAATTTGGTAAAGAATTTGGATATAGTGCCCAGGCAAATGTTGTTTAGTTTATTTTTCTCCATAACATATTTTTTTCAGGATTTTTTTGAAAACTTGTTGTTGTTTTTTTTTTTTTTTTTTGGGTCCGCGTTCGGCCCGAACGGCCGAACGCCTTCCGAAGGGGTTCGGGCGTTCGGCCCGTCCCGAACGCCGGCAACCCTGTATATATATATATCGTCACAAACAGAACTGCTCGATAAACCGTAGGCAGAGAGAGAGAAAAGGACAACAAACGAGGGGCTGTGGCAAACTGTTTCGTCGGAGTTTCACCGACTCATCAGGAGGCTGAACCCTCAACAGTCTGCAGAATCCCCTCACTGATTACACTGTAAATGATCATCTACCTTGACCAAAATCAAAGTAGACTATCACTCACCCACACCAGATGGACAACTCTACAGACTGTCGGTTCACACCCCATCACAAGCCAGCAAAACATCCACGAAACAATGAATGGCCGCGTAGTAACGGCCCCGACCACTGCCGCTCGACCTGACCAGAAAAAAACGTAGCAGGAAGCTAGCGAAGTCGTAGCATATATCGTCAGAAACAAAACTGCCCGGTAAACCGTAGGCAGAGAGAGAGAAAAAGACAACAAACGAGGGGTTGTGACAAACTGTTTCGTCGGAGTTTCACCGACTCATCAGGAGGCTATATACGATATATATATATATATAGTCAAATAGAGCTGCCCGGTAAACCCTAGGCAGAGAGGGAGAAGAGGACAACAAACAAGGGGTTGTGGCAAACTGTTTCGTCGGAGTTT